CATGTAAGAGCATCCCGAACCGAAAGTACGTTGCTTTGTATATTTTGAAGGTTACGGCGATGACACCAAATTAAAGGGCCGACCACATTTCTAGTAAAATGTATGCGAGCACGCCAAGATTCGAACGTGGAATCTTCTGATCCGTAGTCTGACGCGTCATCCATTGCGCCACGCGCCCACAGCGGCTGTGTAGCTTAATTAAGTATTTAACTGAAAATGGAATAAAAGAAACTTGACAAAGTGGGTGCTTTGGGTTGTTCATTATATTTCAGTGGCCTGTCTGGGAACCTGAATGCCCCTCCGGATGCTCAACTAAAAGTACCCATCCATCTTCATGAAAAAACTGTTGCTTGAAATGATAATGAAAATCGAGACGGCAAAAACATATTGTCTTGACAGCGAACTTTTTGGCTGTACGATAACGCAGCGCGCAATGCACCTAATCACTAGGTCGGGTCCGGTAGGTTATTGTGTAATTTAGCAGTTCAAAAAACGAGCCAAGCATTGACTTCATCGTGTGTCTCATGGGAAATTAACCCACACAACCTTGTTATCATCTTTCTAGGGGACGGCAGGTCAATCGAAGGTTGTATGGTAAGTGCGAATGTAGGTGTTGGGTTGCAGGAGATCTGGGGGGAGTAGGGCGGCAAGGAGGTGAGACCACAAAATCCTAACAGACAGAAATGTGTCCTGCTGACAGTGGGATACAGGGAAGCCGAGCGGAATGAATGTTTGCGCCACGTAACTCGAACTAATTTCCCGAGAATCTACTTCCGTTCCACCAGAGTCCTGGTGCCGCGACAGCAAGAACAGATTTTCAATTGGAAAAGGAGGCAAGCGAAACCTAAGGTAGGGCAGAACAACTGTGTTTAAAAAGAAGACTAAAGGAAACCCCTTTATGCGGGACGGTAAGGAAATCAGTAATTTTATTAATATCGGCAATTGACAAGTATCTAAATTTCATATGGCTGTTTATCAGATCCCCAGAGAAAGTTGTTCAAAAAGCACTACGAATTTTTAGCGGCCACTGAATGAGGATAACGATGGAGTTGCCGTTTTCCTTAAAATTCCGAGATGTGAACTGACATGTATACTATGCCAAGCAGGAGAGCGTTTAGAGGCGAAGGAAACATGGGAAGGGAGAAGTACGTATGGATTACGGACTGAAAGTTTAAGAGAATTTGCACTACTGGCAGTACCAAAAGACAGGTCATTTTCCGGTGTGTGCATTTTCAAAAGGAAACAGGCTGTTTCCAGCACTGCCAACTGACGCATGTACTGGATGTACTATCAGCCTAATGTGTGTTGTGTGTGACATGGCTGATGAGTGGACCGGGATTCAGAAGGCGACTGCTCCTTCTAATCCCCTTGCTCTGTAAATACTGGTGTGTGCCAAAGAGGCCGAGTCCAGCTGTGGAGTGCGCAGAACGGTTTTCCGTCTCAGCCACTGCGCACA